GCAGCGGCTGGGTGACAGTGAGCAGGGTGTCCGTTGAGTCGGGGTTAGAGCGCTGGGCAGGTGTCCGCTGAGCTGAGTGCCCCCTCTATGGGTGGTCCTCCTGGCCCAGGGTGGGCACAGTACGGTGTCCACCACGCAGCATCTTCACCCCTCGGTCCGACATAGCCCTGAGCCTGAGGAGCCTGCGCCCAGCCCGGGGCCGTCTGCCGCCCCCGCGGAGCCCGAGGGGGACCCAGCTGGGGAGGAGGCGGATGCCGAGGCCGTTCTGATGGAGGAGGACCTGATCCAGCAGAGCCTGGACGACTACGACGCCGGCCGCTACAGCCCGCGGCTGCTCACAGCGCATGAACTGCCTCTGGACGCGCACGTGCTGGAGCCTCACGAGGACCTGCAGCGCCTGCAGCTGTCGCGCCAGCAGCTCCAGGTCACAGGTGCGCAGGCTGGAGATGCCGCGGTCCATCTGGGCGGCGGGGTGGCTCGGGGTTGGGGTGGGGGGGACACGACCCAGGACTTGGTAGGGGCAGGGCTCTGGGCAGCATGCTGGGTCCCCTCCTGCAGCCCTGTGCTCCCCAGGGGACGCGAGCGAGAGCGCAGAGGACATCTTCTTCCGGCGTGCACGTGAGGGCATGGGGCAGGACGAGGCGCAGTTCAGCGTGGAGATGCCGCTGGGCGGCCGTGCCTACCTGTGGGCTGACAAGTACCGGCCGCGCAAGCCACGCTTCTTCAACCGCGTGCACACGGGCTTCGAATGGAACAAGTACAACCAGACGCACTATGACTTCGACAACCCCCCGCCCAAGATCGTGCAGGGCTACAAGTTCAACATCTTCTACCCGGACCTCATCCACAAGCGCGCCACGCCCGAGTACTTCCTGGAGGCCTGTGCTGACAACAGAGACTTCGCCATCCTGCGCTTCCACGCGGGCCCGCCCTACGAGGACATTGCCTTCAAGATTGTCAGCCGGGAGTGGGAGTACTCGCACCGCCACGGCTTCCGCTGCCAGTTTGCCAACGGCATCTTCCAGCTCTGGTTCCACTTCAAGCGCTATCGCTACCGCCGCTGACCTGAGGGTTATCCGCCTGCTGCGGAGTAGCCGCCGTCTATGGGTTATCTGTGCCAGGAACCGACTAGGACCAGCAGAGCACCCTCACTGCCAGTCAGGGTCTGGTGACCCACCCCTGCCCATATGGGGACAGTAACTTCGCTTCTGCCCCATTTCTCAGGTGGCAGATCCAGGGCTGCCTGCAGCCCATGCTGTCACTGACTGAGCCCCACCCACAGGAGCACAGTGCTGCTTCCCTGCCCCTGGTCACCAGTGAGGGCCTTGGAGCTGGTTTTATCTGGAAAGAATTTCTATTTTGTTCTCTGGAAAGACTTAGGTGGGGAAAATATCCATCTATTTTCACTGACTGTCTCCTGTCTCCCATGAGACCCAATGTCGTTTTGATAAATTGAAAAGAGTGAGCATATTCTAGAATGGCATCAGTCTGAGTCACAGTCCAGAAGGCCCAGAGTGCACAGCTGCAACTCCCTAGTGGAGCTCTGGGACTCTGTTCAGTCCTGCTCACCCCAAGTCCGCCAGCTGCTCACCTGGGGGGACAGTGCTCAGCCAGTACTAGAGTATGGCTCTTACCCCAGATACACTTCCAAGTGTCCCCCATTGGCTGGGAATCTATAGTAAATGGAACTGAGATGCAGGCCACCCTGTCACCCAGGCCTGAGCTTACGGGCTGTGAACTCAGCAGGACACATGTGACAACCCTTTGCACAGCCCCTATCCTTCCCGTGGAGCTTGTGGCAGACATCACTTGTCAGTTGGAGACCAATAATACTGGATCCTCCACACAGCCTGTACCAATCCATTCCCTCTTAGCCTAGCTGAAACTTGAATACTGTGCTCAGCACATACCATGTTTGGACCTCAGTTTCCCCACTTGTGCCAGAAAAGTTTTCCTTTATCTCCCTCCCCAGCCTCATTATCAGCAACCTCAGGATGCTGGTCTCTGGAGAGTGGGGAGGGGAGGCCTGGAATTAGGGGAACCTCAGGAAGACCCCAAGGTGCCTGGAAGGAAAGCCAGGAGGCAAGTGTGTCAGGGCACTGGGGAGCCATAGAAGGTGAGTGCAGGAAGACCCTCGCCCTGCTCCTCACCCTGATGCCTTAGAGGCTGCACCCCTCCCCCCCTTCCTTCCTTTAGCCATGTCCAGAGCTAAGAATAACTGTTCCAGGCCTGGCCCCTGGCCCTGGCGGAAGCCACAGCCGCAGGGGTACATCCTGAGCCTGGCCTCCCATCAACATCTGCCCTCCAGCCAGCAGCGGCCCAGCTGCTCATATCCATGGGCAGTGCCGGTATGGCCCAGAGCTTACAACTGCAAGACTCCGGTCCCAGGAGTCATGCTGGATGCACCCATGCAGCCTCCACATCATGTTCCATCCCTGACCCAGTTTACCCTTGCAGACAACACAAAAGCAGGATAGAGCCCAGCATCCTTTACCTATGCGTGGCTCTGTTCCAGAAAAAACTTATTAGAGCTGAGGACAAAGGAAGAGTATGAGGCCTCCTTCCCTGCCTCCCCTCATCCCTTTGGGAACCCCACATCCTCTTCCCACCACTGTGGCTCGACAGGCATCATACCATTCTTGCCACCACTGTGAGTCACACACCAGGGGAACTCCTGTACATCCCACAAAGCCCCACTCCCAAAACCCTTTCACCACAGAATGACTTCACAGCCAGACTTTAGGCCACCCTAGACCAAGACATTTGTTTGGCTGTGCTGCCCAACTCCCAGAAACAGGTGATCTGTCTCCCTTTCTGTCCTAGCTTGGGGAAACCTGGTGGCCCCACCCAAATTTGAGGTCACAAAGGAGATCCAGAAGAGCCTTGCAGCCTGGGCTTTACCTGGTGTGTAGAATTTGGAGAAACAGGGAAGGGGTTCAGGGCTGGATGATGGGCTGCAGGAGAGCAGACCTCCAATATGCCAGAAGGATGGTGGGTGGGGCTTCCCGCTCTGTGACCACAGGCTGATAGACCCTGGACAAACTCAATGAGCCCCTGTAAACCCGGAACAGGGTGGGGTGGGTTCAGGGCCAGCAGACATCCTGGTCCACTCCAGGCGGTCAGTGAGGTCCAAACTTATAGTGTACTGCAGCCAAAGGGCCCAAGGTCACCGTGAGCCTAACTGCCCCTACAGAGTGACCCAGACCTGGAGCCCCATGGTAAGGCTGCCACTCACGACCTTTCCCAGAGGGGGGCCCCAGCCTGGCCCAGGAAGGTGTCCCTCACCTTTGAGGCTTCACCGGGAGGAACCTTGAAGGAGTTCTAGGTGTGTCTGGGGACCTTTCATACAGTTCCCAAGTCTTGCCTCCAGCAGTTGGCTTCATTCTGCAGGGACAGCATTGTGTGTCTATCCATACCCAGAACTGGGGACAGGGATGAGGAGAAAGCCCCGTCCCACAATGGATCCCCAGCCTCCCCACTACCTGGTCTAGCTAGAGCTGGTAGCTCCCCTCCCAAGGTTCCTGTGACTCCCATGTGCAATCCCTCCCAAGGGCCTTAAGCAGATCCTGCAATTATTAGGCACCTATAATGTGCCAGACCTGACTCCATCTGGCCACACGGCCCTTCCTGCATGGGTCCCTGCATGACCTACCAGCCAGCAGGGTAACCCATGGTCCCCTAGGTCTGTGTCACCCCTGGATCACTGACAGCCTCCCTTCCTAACCAGCCAGGCCAGGCTGAGGGGCGGGGCCAGAGTGGGGGCGGGGCTGGCGAGAGAAGGACTGGCGGAGAACCAGATGGAAACAGGGCGGGGTGGGAGAGACAGACTCAGAAATCACCATTCCGGGTCCCGGTGGCCCTCCCTGGGGGTCTCCAGCTGGGGGGATCTCTGTTGGGAGGCCGCCCTGCAGGTGACTCAGTTTCTCCAGGGCAGTCTCCTCTCTTTTCTCTGCCCAGTCTGGGAAACTACACAGCCAGCCCTCTGCTCGGCTCCTGGGACACAACGGCGATCATTGAGACCTGAGCCCCCCAGGTGAGTGTGTTCCTACTACTCCCCAGTCCTCCAGGTGACAGCTACACTTTAGTCCCAGGTGAGGTCATATCCCAAGTGGCACCCTGGGATGCTTGGTTTCATTGGCTGCCCTGCCAAGGCTGTGACCCCAGAGGGTGGGGTAGGTGATGATAGCAGCCCAGTCCAATGGTACGACCCCGGGCGTGCCTTTTAGTCGTGCATTTCTGGGCCAGACTTGTACAGTTGCTCAGGTTGCACACTGCTAACAAGCTTCCTGGGGTCAGTACAGAGGGGTCTGAGGCAGGGCTGGGGTGGGGGGCCATGTATATACAGGAGGGGAATCTGTGTGTGTATGCATATGGATGTGTGTGGATGTGAGCATATGTGTGTGCATGTATGTGTGTATATGTATGTGCACATGTTTTGTGTGTTGTATATTTGTATGTACATGTGTAATATTTGTGAGTTTTTTGGGCTTTTTGAGTCAGGATCTCCCTGTAGCCCCAGCTGTCCTGGAACTCCCTATGTAGACCAGGCTGGTCTTGAATTCACAGAGATCCACTTGCCTCTGCCTCCTGAGTGTTGGGATTAAAGGTGTGTGCCACCACGCTGTGTGTTTGTGTATGTATGTGTGTATATGTGTGTGCTCAGGCTTGGTTCAGAACTTAGGCCTCATCCCCACATGGCCTGGCCTATCTCCATCCCACCCTTTCTCTCCTAGAGGGGCATCCATTGCCCAGACCAGGAAAACTGAGGCTCAGAGGAAGGCAGTGTGAGCTGAGGTCCAGGCAAGCTTCCACTCAGTCTAACAGCTGTTCAGACACCTGTGTCTGGGGTCGGGGGACCACGCCCCCAGCCACTGTCACAAACAGGAAGAGTTCCCGGAAGTGGGGCCCTGTGGAGTGGGAGGGAGGCAGTCTGGGTTAGCACAGCCCCAAGGATCTGTGGGGTGCCAGAGTGTGGGGTTCTTGCTGTATTTGGGGGTGTTAGCAGACACTTGGAACATGGGCAAAGTACTGTCACAGGGTCCCCAGTGAGCTGTCCCTAGGAACAAGATGGGTACCAGGCCCAGGGCACAGCTGGGGCTGAGGCCGAACTTCTGGGTGGTGCAAGAAGGCCAGTGGGGAGAAACTGAGGTTGGGAGGGGTGGCCGGGGAAGGAAGACCTGGAGAGTCTAGGCTGGTCTGAACCCCGGAGCCAGTGGGGACCACTGGGAGATGGATGGGCTGAGAGGAGGATGAGGGGCCTGGTGCTCAGCCCTCACAGCACACTACATTCCTGGAGCCTGGCCACCCTGTGCCTGGGCCTCAAGGAACAGAACAGGGACCTGAGTGCCCCACACCCAACTCATGACAACAGTGAAACCTCCCCCAAGGCAGAGCTCCATCACTGCCCCCCAGGACGAGGACAGAAGCTGGGACACAATTTAGAGACCCAGGATAGAACCAGCTGGATTGGGCCACCCAAGTCTCAGAAACTCAGGACCTTGGAATTCTGTGCAGTACAGAGCCAGGTTGTTGGGTGAGGGAGTCTGGATAATTCTAGAATACTAAGCCAGGTGTGGTGATGTATGCCTGTCATCCCTCTGGAGATGGAGGCTGGAGGATCAGGAGTTAGGGTATTCCTCAGCTACGTGGAGAGTTGGAGGCCAGCCTGGGCTACATGAGACTCAGGAACAAGAAAAAGTTCCAGAACCCTGAACTTCCTTAAGCCTGAAGCTTCTGTCTCTAAGGCTATGGGATCAGGAGCCAGAGACACAGAGATAGTCAGAGCTACACAGCATGGCTCAGGGCAAGCATGGAAGGCAGCCAGGCCCTGTCTGGAGAACTTGAGCCCGCCATTATCACCTGAATCCCTGGGGAGGAAGGGCGTGGCCAAGTTGGGGTACTGGAAACCTCCGCCTTATTCCAGCATCCTCTAGACCTAGGGCTCTGGGCAGTAGCTTTGCTGTGATACAGGAGTGAGGTGTCCCTGGGGTCCTCTACAACATTAGACAAGGGACTTTGAGATAGAGAAGAGAGAGGCACTCCAAATGGAGGCTGAGCCCAGAAAACTTAGCTGTTGGGCATACCAACCAGAGGAGGGAGGGAAAACCCAGTCCCAAGGGGAATCCTAGCACAGAAACTCAAATATATGGGTAGTCTAAAGTGCCCTACTTCAGAGCCATTGGGGCAATGTAATCTCTTATTTCTCTGGGCCTCAGTTTCCACCCCACCAACCAGGCAGCTGGAATTAGCTAATTGATGAGGTTCCACGGGGCACCATGTCAGTCATCAAGTACCCAGATGGGGAGGCAGGCCCTGGCCACCCACTGCCAGGAAGTGCATTCACACCCCCACCTACCATGTTCTGAGTAGCAACAGTTGAGTGCCTGCTGTATAATAGGTGTAGACATATGCAATAACCATTCACAGCATCAACTCTGTTTTATAGGAAGGGAAACTCGGGGTCTGAGTGGGGGCCTGGTCCAAGAACAGGCAGAGGGTGACACCATGAACAACTGTTATAACCCCAGGGTGGCACACACATGTAGTCCCAGCACTTGGGAGGCAGAGGCAGGTGAATCTCTGTGACTTCAAGGCCAGCCTGGTCTACATAGTGAATTCCAGGCCAGCTGGGGCTACAGGGAGACCCTGTTTCAAAAAGACCAAAAAAAAAAAACCAAAAAACCCAGGGCCCAGAGAAGCTTTGCATGGGTGAGGGCCTGGGTTCCAGAAGAGAGGGAGGGAAAGGAGGGAGAGAGAGAGAGAGAGAGAGAGAGAGAGAGAGAGAGAGAGAGAGACCAAGAGAGGCAGCCAAGGGCTGTCAAGATGGCTCAGCAGGTAAGGGGTTTGCTGCCAAGCCTGACAACTCAGGGTTGATCCCCCGGACCCACATGGTGGAGGGAGACAACGGACTCCCACAATTTGTCCTCTGACCTCCACACATGTACATACCCACATTAAATAAATAAATGTAAATTTAGAAAAAAATGTTAAAAATAAGGGCTGGAGAGATGGCTCAGCAGTTAAGAACACTGGTTGTTCTTGCAGAAGACCCGGGTTCAAATCCCAGCACCTACATGGTAGCTAACAACTGTCCTCAACTCCAGTTCCAGGGGATCCAACAGCCTCTTCTGTCCTCCAAGGGCATTGCACGACATGGGTGTACTCACATACATGCAGGCAATACACGCATACACATAAAAATAATAAAATATATTTAGAAAAAGAAAACCCTGTGTGACATTAGGCGACTGTCTCTTTTCTGTCTTTGTTTTGATCACAGCCAGGGTATCCCTATGTAGCTCAGGCTGGCCCCAAAGAGCAATCCTCCTGCCTCAGCCTCCAGCGTGCTGGGATTAAAGGCTTGTGTCACCACACCCAGTTTATGGTCTGGCTTTTTGATGACCCCACATCTGGCCTTGGTTCTGTGAGGCCCAATGGGGATCCTGTTGTCCCTGCATTTCTGTCCCCTGGCGCCACACAGGTCTCCGTTGACCTTTCAAAGTCTCCCTGGGGAGTTTGTCAGTGTTCAGCTCTGCAGTTTTTCTGTTCCCAAAATGGAACTGGAACGTCTAGGTCTGTCTTGTATTATAAAAGTGATGCCAGGAAAGGGGGCAAAGGAATCACACCACCCAGTGGGTGGTATAAAGTTGGAGGAAGCCCCTCTGGTGAGAACACATACTGCCTGCTTGTACCAACAGTCAGGATGGGTGCCCCATGGGGAAACTGAGGCCACACGGTGAGCAGGAGGATTGGTCTGTCCTCTCAGCTACTCAGGAGGCTGAGTCAGGAGAAGTTCCAGGACAGGCTGCACCAACTTTGAGAGACCCTGGAGTCAGAGAGACATTTAAATAGTAATCATCACAGTCACTCTATAGGCAGTGGAATTAGTTAGTAGTAATGAATAGTATTGATAGCAATAGTAATTAATAAGGGGGTGTGGTTTGGTCGAAGAAGGTTGCCTCACAGAAGGAGTATCTGTTGCTGGGCTTTGGAGGTTATGTAGGAGTTCGGCAGAATCACTCTGTCTCAATGACAAGCCAAGTTTTTGTTTTGTTTTGTTTTGTTTTGTTTTATCTTTTTTTGAAGCAGGGTCTCCCTGTGGCCCCAGCTGTCCTGGAACTCACTATGTAGACCAGGCTGGCCTTAAACTCACAGAGATCTGCCTGCC